ACTTATCAAAAGAAAGCTATTGACAAGTTTTAAGATTTTACCAATAAAAACTGTAGCTAAGCGTCATAACTCGTGACCAAAGTAGCATATTCAAATGCGAAAGGTTTCTATAACCGTGAATTAATACAAGAAATATATGAAGAAGGCATAGCAGAAAATTGTGATGGGAAAAATAAAACTTTCATGGAACACAAACAATGCTCATAATAATGACACAGAATAATTTCAAGTAATCCAAGAATGCTGGTTCAAAAGCCTTCCCGTTACCCATTCAACTAATAAGTGTCCCAATACCTAATCTCATTCAGGAATGGGCTAGCCTCTGTATTTGATAAAGGGAATAGATGACACACATAAGGCTTAGTGTAGGCGTAACAACAAGTTAACACGTGACTGGTGAGCAGGAAACTGAATGTGATCCGCTGCCTATTTATTAAGCGAAAAGAAACCACAATTTAATCTTTACCGCGATAAATCATGCCTTTCTTAGGGAAGGCAAAAGAACGTGTATGAGTTTTGGGGCATCTTACCTCCTTGGTGGTAAAGTTGTTCCATAGTGGCTGCACCCATTTGGTGACTCTTGAGGATAACAAAGACGGTTTGAACTTTGTTGAACAACAAGACAAGGCATAGAGAAGGGCCTTCATAAAACAAAACTCATGGTTTCGACGAATAAGAATTGCTGAAAAGCATTTAAACTATTATTTGTTACCGTGAGATGCAATACTTCGCTAAAAAATTGGCTGATGAAGGCCTGATGGAATTTAACGCAGTAATAAGTAGTGAGAAGAATAAACAGCAGCAGCAAGACTCGCAATCCATAAGGGGAGTGGAAGGAACTCAAGAGGCATACCATGCATAAATGACTTCGCAAAATGAAATATAGTGTACACAAAGCGCAGAGGATTAGCAAATGAGCCAAACATGCTTGTAATTATTGTTTAGAATAATTTTATAACGCCGCTGTCACCTCTTCAGCCATGGTAACCATTCTTCGCGTGCTCTCCAGGGACTAAAACATTAGTAGTGTTAAAAGAAGGCATACTTCATCCGTTTTTTTATTTGCTTGCATCCGCAGAAGCTCGAGTTCTGACATTGGTTGACTTTGGCCGTAATCATTCTACGCGATTATGAATACGAAATAACTACGATAGCAATGCATTACCATTGTTGTCGCACGCAAGCGCGAATTTCCTCAGGCTTAGTTAATGTTAATGAACCCAAAGATTTATCTCGAAATATTTCGACCAATGAACGTCCGAAGAGCGGATTCGTCCTAAGGAAGAATGAAAACGAAGATATATTGCTTCATTTTACGTTTTGTCAACTACTACATACTTCCAAGCTGTACAAGCTGCACATGTTGTAAAAATATACTCACGACTTTTAGTCAAGTACCCACATATTCTCTCCTCTTTAGTTGAAAATCTGATGCAAACCATTTTTATTATTTCATATGATAACTAGGTGTGCTTTAATCAAGACCGGACTATTCTTGCGATTGAAGTTTTAGTTTACCGAACTTAGGGCAAACACGGTAATGTATGTTACTGTTTTTAAAATTATCCTTACGCTGGAGAGGAGGCCATTCAACGCGAGACTTGTGTTAGAGGAAAGAAAGGAGTTATTTATTGTAGTAACGCTGGACACACGCCTTAGCCAAATCCAAACTTCTTGTGTTCTGTAAATTCTCTAAAAGCAATCCGTCACTAATGAGGACAGAAGTTCATATGCCTAACGGTTGACTAGGAAACTCTACACCCACACATTTAATTCTTTTATCTCTATTGAATTAATGTTCTGTTGGAAATTTCTTGTAACAACTGACATTATGGTGGCGTTTTTAATAACTTGTGTTTTGTAATTTATACTTTTACGATAGGTAAACTGAGGAGGATTCAGTTAACCTCCCGAAAAAATAAACAGTACATTCACAAATGCCAAAGTTAAACTTGGAAATGGACGTCCACAAATCAACGTTTGCTCAAAAATAGATCAAAATCAATAAATCTGAAGTCATTACGGAGTGCTTGGGAAAATCACGTGACAAAAACGCAACAACAAGTGAAAGGTGAAATGAAATGCAAAGGGAATTGAACAAAGGTCCCATCATGCTGAAAATTTTTCAGATAGGTGTTGTCGCTTCACGAGACCTAATTTTGGTACCAGCTGGCTTGCACTTTCAGGTAAAGCTGTATAAGGCGGTTTCTGCGTGCCATGAATCATCAGAATCCACTCAGTCAACACTGCATGCCCCAGAGCGGGATCTGCACCTTTGTGTGAGCGATGCTTTTGTGGATCCAGGCCCACTGTCAGCTTCCACGTACCCTTTGGGCTCTCAGCCCACATGTGTGTTGTCATAAAGGGCCATTTAGTGAAACCCCTTCGTGAATCAGAATCCTTTGGTCTAGCTCCGAGGATCATTGAAGTGGTATTCATTGGAGAAGTAAGGAACATCACCAAATCCCCTCTTCGGCTGGCTCGAATGCTTATGAATGCCTGAACGTGTTCAATAAAGTTAACTTGGCTTTCGGGATTTCCTTGACAGGATTCTGTGTAGAGTTCTAACTGGATAGGTTTGCCAACAGTGACGACCTTGCGTCCGTTGAAGATGCCCGCAATGCAGTGAAACCTTTCTGGTACAGTCTTCCACAATTTGGACATTCGAACCATGTCGCCGGCATCAAGAACGCCATAGCCAAAGAGGTGATTGAACTCCAAACCAGCACCGTTGATGGTCCAGTTGTGAGTGCCTTCTCGATCATAGAGGTGATTGCGCTTGGAGGTGAGCACTATCAGATGTTGCATGTCTCGCCATGTCAGCTCAGGATTGGCTTCCAAAGCCAGCGCAAGAACTCCAGCTGCTTCCGGAGCGGCAGCTGAGGTCCCTGAATGATGTAGGGTACAGTTACCATAGAGATCCACTGTCCCCACTCCCGCGTCAAGGCTAAAATTAAAGTAATAACAATTACTGCCTACATCACCAACTTGTTATTTGGAAAAATGTGCAGAAGAATGTGTCCTAGAGCACCACAATTCTTCAAAACTAATAGACGCAAATCTGGCCGCATTACTGTCCTTTGATGATTTTCATTCCTTTAGGCCTATCAGAGAACTTCCATCATGATCAATTTAATCATCAGGGATGAAGCAAGTTGGTACTTCCCTTAATCCCTTTACTACTGTCTCCACTAGTCCACTCGACTAATGCTTACGACCTACAGTGACAGTTTCACTAACCTCAGCATTGATTTGCCATTCGAGAAGGTTGAAGCAAGGGTCGATGCACAGGATTCATCATAGTTAGCAGTTTGACCGTCATTCGTAGCTGAGTTGATTGAAATGGTCCACATGGAGGCAGCATAACCATCGCAATTGCAATCATCTTCTGGGCCTCCATCGCCCGATGCCCAGACGTAGAGTGACCCTTTGCCGCCTCGGCCCTTATTCACGCCGTCAACAATCGCCTAAAGTAAAGAACCTCAGTGGTCTAACACTTATTAATGGCGGGCTCAGGAGCAAAACCAGATTTAGTGCAAATTTTTGTTTTGCAGATATTGTGAGATGCTACTGATAGAATAAGTAAGCAACCTGCATAGTTTGATTTCTAGGTCCATCCACAGTTTTGCCATCATCAGTAGGTCCCCAACTGGCAGAGTAGATGTCAATGATGTCTCTGGCCTGTGACATAGCAGCAGCTTCAATGAGATCGGTCATGTAGGGCTGGTCAAGCATGCGTAGTCCGGCGACACGTGAATTAGGCGCAACGCCAACACCGCAAACCCCATTGCCGGCAACAGCCGCTACCTCACCGGCGCATCGTGTCCCATGCGAATTGAACCAGTCGTCTGTGTATCGTGGGTAGGGGAAAGCATCATTTCCAGAAAAATCGTAGCTAGCTTCAGCTGCGTAGTTGGGTGCAATATCAGGATGAAGGTAATCTATTCCATCATCCATAATCGCAGTTACAACTCCCCTCCCCGTGATGTTTTGAGCCCAAGCGGAGAGAACATTCAAATCGAGACCTGGTGTGCCTTCAGCTTGGCCTGTGTTGTGAATGTACCATTCTTTTCGGAAGAGTGGATCTGAGGATAATCCGCGAACAATTTCAGCCTCGAGTGGTGAGAGTGACCTTCCTAAAGACTCTTGTTCCTCCTTTTCTATAGGTCTATAGCCACGTTTGGTGCGTTTGTAACCCCTTAACTGTTCAGCACTTTCAACACTTGGATGGCCGACTAGAGCATCCTGAAGAGATTCGCTCGACTCTTTTAAGTTTGGATGCAAGAAGAGGAATTCGTTGGGGTGGAAATAGGTATCATGGTCCTCCAACCATGTTCTGAACCCCGTTTCAGCTGCTACTTGCTTAGCACGCGCTTTCAGTGTGTCGCGTCCCTCTTGACCATCAGTTTGAAGACGAACTAGCCACTGGTTGGTTCGAATTCGAGCAGAAATTAGGCTCACAGAGATCCACAGCACCACAAGACAGCTCAATCCCACTTGCTTGGCCATGGAGGAGAGCAACTAAAGAGCAGGAGTGAGAAGACTCAAGGCTTGAGGAGGATTTTTGCTATCCTCAACGCTCGTTGGTGGAAAATTGCGTGCACGGGTAAGGTCATCGATCAAGGCTGGTGCGTCCGTGCTGCTCACGCTGGAGATCAGAATTGCAACGCCCCGTGGACGTATTTTTAGGCCAATAGACACGCTTTCCCAAACTCACGTGTTATCTCTAATTTTAGCCCTCACTACGGCTTCACGGGTAGGCGTAGGCGTGCCTTCACTTCTCGCCCACCACATCACTAATTGGCTTTGACAAAAAGCCCGTTCACCCAGAATAGGCCTCTGGAGAGGCTGAGATAGTCGAGCTACTGCTCTATTGTGGTACTTTCGGAATTATAGGGTGGATTAAAATTTTAGCGAGCCTGGATTGATGATTCCAATAGTGTGAGAGAGAGAGAGAAGGAGGAGGCGTGGGTGTTTGGATTGAAGAGGTTGAGAAAATGCGAAAGAGGAGGCTTAAATCGCAGAGCAGATCAATCCTAACCAATTGTCTTGAATCGTCGAAGAATATATGCATGGGAGATGAGTGATGATTGATTTAAGACTTCGAGTGAACTTTTTTACTCTGATTTTAAAACAAAACAAAGGACTTTTTTGGCGTAGCCTTGATTAGCATTGTTTACATTATCTGATGCTGTTGTAAAAGTCACCTCTTGGAAGCGCTTTTTAGCTTTTCTTTTGCTTGTTTCGCACCTTTGCAGGACACCTAGTCGCTATGCCTTGACAGCAGGACC